ATGAACCGGAAGATCACCAAAAAGCCACAAGGGATGGTTCATAGGGGTCGATCATTCCCTGATCCACTGAGCGGCAAGTTTGACGCAAGCTTTGGAGGTTTATCACACACTGAATCCGGAAGCATCGCACTCGGTGTGAACCATGCACCCATTGGACGCAGGAGCAAGAACTGATTTTGGGTTTGCGGCTTGGAGTTTTGTGGCTCAAGGAACCCCCAAGTAGCATATCCGGACCTACATGACTGGCGTGTCTCGTGCTCACAGCCGTTTGGCAGGCAAGATTGGGGGTGGCCCATGGGACCCATCCCCAGAATTCACTTCCCATTGACGCTTTGGAAGACCCTCGCGGCCCACCCGGCCAGTACGCGCAGCTTCCTGCCCGGTTGGGGCGGGAACGCACCCCGAAGGACCCTTAAGAATGTGTGATGCGTGTTGCCGGGCGTACGTTTCTCGCTTGTTTTTTTCGGGTGCTGTGATTCGGGATGTCCCCCTTGTTTGATGGCTTCCCCACTAAAAGTAGTCAACCCCCAAATATAAAACATTCCCATCGCAGGAATTTGACTACCCACATGAACCCTTAGTATGAACCCCTAGGCTGTTGGGTGAATCGCCAAAAGTGGCATGGAACCCATCTGAAGGTGCCAATTAGGAATTTGTGGATATTGCTGATCGTGTTAGTTGGTCTTGCTGGTTTTAGTCGCAAGAGGAAAATGATACTCGCAGTTGCCCACAGCCGATCTTGACCTTTTGGTTTTCCGGTTTGGGTCCATACTCAGTCAAGGTCCCAACAGCTTCAACTTTTATGTTCAGGTCCTTTTGGTGAACCCTCGGCACGCCACAAGGTCCCAAAATGGTAGCCAGGTCATTTTGTGGCATCTGCTGGCGTGGTGTGTGGTGCAAGGCCGGATGCCATTAAACAGTATACATCTTTGTTTTTGGCGCAGGGGGCCATGCATCTGGTTCATTCTGGTCCACAAGCCTCCCGCGGTAATTCGAAGGCATGGTCTTGAGATCCGCCCCTTAGGCTTGGATCTTTTGCAAGTCGAATTTCCGCTGAGCCAATCGCTTTGATTTGCTGCCCGGCTGTCCATAAGCGCTGCACTCAGAGGGTACTGTTGGGCCTTGGCAAGCATTGTTGTCGCAAGAAACCGAAGCGCCATTAGAGCCCGGAGGCAGGGGGAGGCAGCACGAGGAGGAGCTGAATCACTTCTTGGCCGTCGTGGCAGAGTTACCGGACGTCTTTGCCAAAGCCATTGACTTGCTCCGCGGGGTCGAACAAGAGGAGGCGCAGCGTCGAGACTCGAAGCGCATCAACAAAATGGAACTTGCCTAGTGAGCACAGAGGTTGTTGAAACTAAACACACGAGGGAATTTGAAATCGGGGCGGCACATGTCCTTATTCAAACCAAGCAAAGCGAGCTCAATCCTTTTAGCCTTTTGGATTTAAATCACGGCCAGATCTCCCACTAAACGCAAAGGTGCTGAAAATACGCGGGTGTGGTTTCTTAAGCTCGATACAGTGTTCGTGGGCGGGTTGTTGCGGAAAATGCAAATGGAAACCAGGCCCCGTTTCAGGGTCGACTTCCCTCGTTTGTTTCAAGCGCACTGGCTTCAGGATAAGACGCTCAATTGGAGTCTCATGTTGAACAGGGATAGGACAACCTACGAAAATACCTGGAGTCTTCAAGGCTTACTGGACTGCCCATAGATGGCACGACCTCAGTCATCAGGCAAACTTCTGCAAAACGGTCTTCCACCATCCCGGAGAAAATGCTTCGCCTTGTGCAGGGATCAGTTTGATACACCCCGCTCAAATTTGGGGCGCCAAAAATATCACAGAGGCCACGGGCCTGAATATGCAACCGCAAAGGAATCCCCAAAGGCTCTTCCTCAACACGGTTAGAAATAAATGTGACAAGAACGCTGAACGAAGAATGTTCCCCGCAACCATCCCCAAAGCAAATCCGTGGACTTTCTTGGAGCTCGAAAAGCACACCCAAGTCACATCAAACGCCATTTTCCCAACAAAAGTCCCCCGAAGCAAACACGCGAGCGACATCCTCCACAAGCCCCCATGCAAGGCATCCCCAGAGACATGTCCCAAAGACATCCCAAAGACAAAGCTCCTAGGACACTACCCAGGAAACTCACAAACACAGTCGACCCGAAGGACGCCCCCACAGACACGCCGTAAAGGCATCCCCCACAGACAATCCCCAGAACCGCAAAGACATGCTGCAAGGACAGATAATCCACGAGGGACATCCCCCGAAGGCATGCCCTACGGACAAACCACAAGGACGCCCCGAAAGACATCCCCCGAAAGACACCACCCAAAACAACTGCAATAACACAGGAGACATCTTGCCTTGTAGGAGATGCCGCAGCTACAGAGATCCGCACGCTGCACGCTGCTTTGTCCCCGCAAGGTTGTCAGCCTTTAAGGGAAGCACAGAACACTGTGCTCCAAGCCTGGCAGAAAGGTGCCTACTCCAGCGGGCCATATTTTCCATGCCGATTGAGTCTTTGGCGCAGCCCGGGAGATGGCTGGACCCTTTGTTTTGAACCAGATCATTGGCCAGGGGTCGCGGATCTTCATGTCCGATGGTTCTATCCACAGGACCTTGTGCAGGAGATGCCAAAGAAAGCCCAGGCGAGGGGATGACCTCCAGAGGTCAAGTCCATGTGAGTTGCAAGACACAAGACCTTTTTTTGCCAATCCACTCCGGAAGTGAGACAAGGTCTCCGGATCAGGTCAAGTCTATTGCCCAGTTGAATCTTTGGGTCCAGCCCCCTTTAACTTGTCTTACTGGAGGCGATTTTGTCATTTGGAATTCCAGTGATGGCAGACTATTTGCTATTGAGGGCGAGTGGAACTCCTCCCTAGGTAGAGGCCCTGGAACATCCCAGTTGATCGGTGGCACCCAATTTCTTTTGGTGCGCGTGTTTTGTCCGTCTTGTTTTATGCCCTCAATCGCTATGGGATCTCAGCGAATCCTGGGTTTGGGGTAGCCAGGTCTCCGAAAAGTTCAGGGAAGGATGTTGGCCCATTTTTGCGAGAGCAATGAACGGCATCAGGTTGATGTGAGCGAGCAACAGTCAAGAGTCACCGTTCTTTTCTGACATTCAACGGGTTGCCACTGCAATGCTATAGGCCCAGGCAACCCTACTACCGAAGTTCCATTCAAAGTTTGACAGTCCCCTTCTGGATTCCTTATACCCGTGATGTGCATTGTTGCAATCTTACAGTAGTAGCTTGCCTAGATTGGAAGCGGGGCGCATTACTCTTCAACTTCCCTTCCTTCCTTCCCCCTGCTTCCAATGAAAAACCATGATGCTGAAAGGGTGGGGGTGGTGGCCGGGGCCACTTTTTTATCCTTAGGGGCCGGGGATTGAGGCAACCGAAATCGCGGAGAATTGCGAACATACCTGGATCTTCCTAAGTCCGATTCTTTCTGCCTTTTCGTGAGAAACTGCAATTTCAACTACGGTCATCATCTTTTTTGCCTGGAGGTTTTCCTGAGTTTTGCTTGTTGGATGTTTGCAACAAACTGGCGGAGGTGTTTTTCCCCGATACGAAGGCGTTTTTTGGCGATACAGAGGCGTTTTTTGCCGAACCCTGTTCTAATTAGGCAGGTGTGCCAAAGGCGCTTTTTGAAGGAGAAGGCGTTTTTGATGGAAACAACTAAAATGTATGTAGTTGCAGCACAAAGCGGAAATTATCCACTCCGAGTTTTCTAGGTATGTCATCCGAACTTTCAGTTTGTGTATGCCTTCGAAGAACCAACACATAAGGTTCGTGCATTGTGAGACTCACCCAGGTGCTTTCTTACCTCTCCTGCTGTTGTGCCACCACCGATGCAAAGTTCGTGTGGCCTTTGTCCGTTGCTTGCATCGAATGCGATGCATTTTCGGGTCCCTAGGGACCCTCGCCGGACACGGGAACGGGATCGGGAGTTTCCAAATCCGCACGATCTGTCCCACTTTTAAAAGGATATCAGTGGGAAACCAATACTACCGGCAATCCGCACGCTCCTTCCCGCTTCCAAAAGTATTAATATTGTGGGAACCCTGCACTCGGGAAGGAATTGGAGCCGACCCATCCGCCGAGTGATGCTCGGGCACACTTGGATCGGGCACACTCGGAGCGTGTTTAATCAGGAGATAGCGATCAGAACCCTTTCCCGGAAGGGTTCGAAGGACCCTTTCTGGGGGGTGGGGGAGGCTCATTCTGAGCCGT